GGATGGATGGATGGATGGATGGATGGATGGATGGATGGATGGATGGATGGATGGATGGATGGATGGATGGATGGATGGATGGATGGATGGATGGACCAACCGTTCTACATCTTAAAAATATTTTTACTTTCAAAGCTTAAATTCCCAGTCTTTCTGCTAAATGCATCAATTTCTGCAACACTCCTTCCCTCCTTCCCTCCAAACCTTCATCTACATCCCTGCCTTCCAGCCTGTCAAATGTCCCACTGGGCTCATCGTTGTGGAAAATATGCTAAAACAAAGAGGGCAGATAGTGCTGTGATAATCCTAAACACAGCAGCTGGAGAATTATCCAGCCATTTGCTGGGGAAAGCTTTCTGGGTTTGCAACTACCTTCAAACAATCCTTGTGGTTGTTTACAGTGCAATGACCTTTGCTATCATGCTAAAATATTGATGGGATTTGACTTTTAATTGATATGATGCAAGAGGTTTTTCGCTTTTAATGCAACAGCGATACTTTGATTATCACATCCTGTTTGGAAAGGCATTTTAGCAAATTCCGCCAGGGCTCCTGATTCCTTTCAGATACGTGAATTATAGATGCAGTGAGCACAAGCGGGATGCAGATACTAATGCTATTAAAAGTGACAGTAACATGTTGCGAATTGAATCCTGTGTTGTAACAGTCTAACAGGCATTAACGCTCTATGTAATAGCATTGAGAGGCAGCAGCTTAGGACAGTCTTTATCTTCAATGCCTTCCTTTTTTTTCACCTCACCCTGGCTGCAGGCATGTGATGCCTCTAAAGGGCCAGCAGTCCAAAACTCCCACAATACATCAGCCACTCAAAATACTACACCGCTGAGTCCCACTGACAGGGAACACACCAAAATGTGCATGGCTGCTACTAACCGCACCTTAGTAAACAACATTCCAAGTTTTAAAATTATACCAAATATTTGAGGCACCAGAGCAGTGTTTGCTTTCAGCTCTCATGACTTGGCAAAGCTTGTATAATGGAAACTTTTTGGGCAAATTACTGTAAACCAAGTTCTGGTAGCCCAGTTACCTATATAGTCAGACTGTCTTTAGGCACCAAATCCCTCTGACTGTTCTGTTCCTAAAGCTGTAGGAAGATTAAACAAAAAACAAAAAAGATACATATCCAAAAAACAATACAAAAAGATGCATATGCTTTTTATCCCCTCACTTTCTAAATTTTAATCAGAAACAGGTTTTCCTGTTTTGAGGTGATTTAGGAATACTGCACTTATTTCTAATTACTATAAAAATAATGTTTGTTTTTTTTTCTTGACACTATTGTAATCCAGAAGTTATTTGGGAGAGGTCTTTTACAAAGCAAATGCAAAAATTTATTTCAATACTTTTTTACTGGGGCTGTTAAAATCTCAAACGCAATATTGATATCCAGGAAAATATGTGTCTATACTATTTTCAATGCCACTAGGATGAAAAAGTACTAATAATATAAGGTATGAAAAAACAAAGATTAACTGACCTTTTTTTCAATTTCACTATAGAATAAGCTTCCTCAACAAAACCACAGATGCTAGTTAAATAATAGTGGCTGGCCCCTCAAGTGGTAAGTCCTGCAAACAGGACGCCTGGATTCATATCGCAGCTGGGGGGAATGAGCTGCCAGGGTGGGTCCTTAGTCAAGACCCTTGACGCTAATGCCTGCTTTGGGGAGTGGCGGCCTAGTGGTTAGGGCATAGAGCTTGGAATCCTGAGGTTTTGAATTCAAGCCCCACTCCCAAAGAATGCCACTCTGGATCCCTGAGCAAGACCCTTAAACCTCACACTGCTCCCCGGGCGCCGCACAATGGCGTTAAATGCAGATGGTTGTACTCTGTACTTTTTACAGGGAAAAGTTCCATTGGCCAACAGGACATTTTCCCATGGCCCCTAGTGAATTTGGGAACTTTTATCTATTTATTTTAAATAATGGCTTCTTCCTCTCTGATCGGTCCTTGTTATGACATGAATTAATTTCCTGTATACAATTAAACCTTAATCAGCTTCAGATAGCAACATTTGCTACTTTTTTGGGGTTGATGCTGAAATTTCATACCAACTGTGACACAGGACCCATCTCCACCTAAACTGTCTAATAACTGCCCATTGCCATGATGTATCACATGGGATAAGTTTCTCTGAGGGGCCTTGGAATACACCCACTGGAGCAAACACCTTGGTGCATGTAAACCGGCTTTGAAGAAAGACATTAAGAGAAACATTTAATTTTTATTTTAAAAAAATACCCTTAATCCTAACAGACCCAAACACAAAAGTGTTCAGTCTGGAATGTCAAACTGTGAAAAATAGGTCATGTGTCTTTGTCTACACTATATCTAAAAATTGCTTTTAAACTGCAAATGTGAGCAAAAGCATTCAGTTTGTGGTTCAGGAAATATACAAAGAGTGTTTCTTTCTTTAGAAATGAAAAAAGAGAAACCGAGAGAAAAAGGTCATGCAAGCGGAGAGACACCTATCATTTGCCTCATGTACCAGAGCCAGAGGAGTTTCCTGAGGAAGGCTAGACTTTTAGTTTCTACTCAGACTGGCCACATTCATTGTTGACCCACAGAACTGACATTCCAAGAAAAAGCAGAGGGGGGATCTTTCACTTGGCTCCCACGCAGGGCCATCCAAAGGACACACATTTTGGCATATTTAACGGCACGCAGAACCACCCCAGCTTACATCATTAATCACTTGTGCATTCATCTAAAATGTGGTTTTAAGAGGAAGCACAAGAAGAGCAACCATAGCCAAGAGTAATTAGGCATGACTAACTTCAGTATAACAAAGATTAGAGATAGCCATGCTCACTTACCAAGGTGGTCTCCATGAAAACTGTTGTCGTGGGATGCTCGACTGTGGTGGATGAGGTCATGGTGTGCAGCAGGCGGCCAGATTTGACCCGTCTTGCGAACACTCACAATAGTGGCCTCCGACATGACCACATGGCCTCCTTGCTGCCTGTGGTGACGCTTCTGTGACTGTGGTGTAGGAGGGCTGCTGCTGTCGTAGGAGTGTTGGGAGTTCTGGGAATTCTGGGAAGGTGAGCGGCTCTTCTCTCTGAATGGCCGTCGGAACCCTGTAGTAGGACTCGGGGAGACGTGGCTGGACTGTCCAGAGGAGAAGTCCTCCTCGCTAGATGTCAAGTTCTCGTTTGAGCTGCAGTCTGGCGTGTAACCTCCACCTCCCCCTGCATCCTCAAAGCTACCTGGGGAGTAGGAGCGGCGTGGCCATGTCAGCAGGTGATCGTCACCTCCGCTGTGGTCTTTCATTGTGACCCCACTGCCGCCTCCACTGCCACCTTCACCCATCATTACCCCACCAACATAGACACTGGAGTAAGCCTGGAACTCAGGTGGCTGCCAAGGAGGAGGTGGAGGCTTGCCCCCATTAGCCCTCCCTGAATGCCGCTGATTGGGTTCCCCATCTTCGTATTCAGCATCATAGCCACAGGTGCTCTCAGTAGACCTTCCTCTATACACAGGCCTGGCCCGGAGCTCACCTGCCACTGTTGCCAGATTACCTGGGAGAGAGTGGAGGGACCTCTTTCGCTCCATCTGCATGGCCTGAGTACCCAGGGAGCTGATTTTATCTGACACATCCCGGTCGTTGACCCTGACCAGACCCCTCTCGTGATGGAATTCCATGTTGGTGTAGAACGGTGGGGGTGGTAACTGCTTTTCCTGACCCTTACCTACATCTCCACTTGAGTGAGAGTTGGCCCGTTTGATTCTCTCAAAGTTTGACCTGAGAGCCGCCACGCCAAGTCCCATCCCCAGTTTGTCTTTTGGGTCTGAAGGCAGCTCCTTGTCTGGAGGTGGAAGGGTGGGCCTACGGGGGGACAGGGCCATACCACCTCTCTGCTTAGATGGGGAGAGGCCATCAAGGTTGTCACAGGATGTAGACTCAGTTTGTTGGGGTGAGTCAAATGCTGACTCCAAGCCATCTCCATGGGAAGCAGACTTCCTGGCTGGTGGAGGCCTAGGTTTGGACCTGCTTGTACCATCTGCAAGCGGCTGAAAGCGACTCCGATCCATCACAGCATACCCACCAGTACCCCCGATTCCACCAGTCTCCTGCATGTGGGGCTGCTGAGATGGTGACTCTGCACCCTGAGGGGCAGCAGGGTCTACCCCCTCATTAAGAGGTGTCTTCCTAAAACCCCACCGCTGTTTGTCATAGCTTTTCCTCTCTTTGGCCAGGAGGGTTTGCAGATAGATCATTCGGAAACGCTCCTTGTTCACTTCTTGTTCAAGACGTCGGATTGACGCTTTGCACTTCTCCAGCTCCTGCTCTATACCTCCAATGGACCGCAGCTCCATTTTGGGGGGTTCCGAATCAGGGAACTGCGCTTTCCAGGCTTCCATGAATCCAACAGGCTCCACCATATTGTTCCTAACTTATTTTCCTTGATCAAGGTTTAGACACAAATGGGGGTTGGTGTGATGCCAAGGGCGCACCGTTTGACCCCAGAGTCCAGTACGCCACAGTTGTTTTATTTTTCTCTCTTCTTTCTTTTTCTTTACATACAAAACTGGTCAAGTCCAATAAAACAAACAAACAAAAAACGTGGGTTTGTTTGTTGTTTAGGAAAGCAGTGCGCAAACACACAGCCTAATAATTGCCTGTACTTGGCGAAGGTTGCGCAGTCGCATCCTGAACAAGAGAAACCGGCTGTTCATTCAGAGGGAAAGAAAACTGTCAATGCGCCATGGATAACAAAAAAACACTAATCTGGGGCAATAATAGTATTTCTTTTGCATATTTCATGAAACAAATTTTTTTTTAAACAAATTTCGCTTGGAGACAATGACACTATAGTAGGTCTTCGCGGGGTGACGGATGGGGGGTTAGACAGGACATAAAAAGAAAAAAGTAAATGAATCCAGCTCCTTTCACTTACTGCCACCGCTTCTTATTCCATCTTTTATAATTCAGCTGATCACTCAGCCCTGCGCACCGACTGTAATCCCAGGTGCAGCTTCTCAAAATAAGCGCCTTTGTGCCAGCAGTGTAGGTGGTGGGGAGGGGGGATGCATAGGAAAACCAGCAAAAAAAAAAAAAAAAGGCGAGAGGAAAAAACAGCAGAGGTTTTATTATTGATCCAAGCGAGCAGGTACGCCGTCACCAAAAACAGGTTGGTTTCCTAATGCCATATCTTCCCCAGCGCACCTGCTCGGTATTGTTGGATTTCATGTCTCCTTCCTTGGATTCATCTTCAGACGTGATGCTGCTGCTGCGCTGTGCGCTCCCATCTCCAACCAGTAAGACATTGGGGCTGGAAGAATGGGAGGGACCAGGGGGGCAGTGAGTGTACTGGTTAAAGAGACAGAGCATGGAAGCAACCCCTTCATTCCACTTCCAGATTTTATTAATTTCTCCCAAAATAAGGCTCAAATCTGCGATTATTCAAGCAAGGCTGTTTTAATTTTTCACTTACCCTCCAATCACATCAACAATCTAATTTAAATTAGCTGTTAAACACTAATAATAATTTAATCTCCAAATCTACAGGCTTATTTCTGAAATATTAATCTCCATTAATATAGTTTACTACCTTTTGGTTTATTTTTAAGACTGGTTTTGGCTTCTGAATAGTGAGCGCGGTTATCTGAATAGAATCTGCTGCCAAACTAACTCAACAGTGCCCCCTGGTGGGGGAAATATTTACCAAAACCGTTTCTATTCAGTGAGGAAAAAGTAAGAATTATCACAATTCCTTTTTAAAAACCCACAAAACTACAACTTGGAAATTAATAGGCCCATATTACTTATTATCAAAAGCCTGTATTTGAAAGTAAAAAAAAATCTTCACTCTCAGACTGGGATTTACAATTGTCACTTTAAACCCAGAGGTGTAGCTAGAAAATGTTTATACGGGCGGCCAGGCAATAACCAATGTACACTGAGGGGTGGCTGATAGTGGATAGGCACCAGAACCTCAGGGTCAGACCAAAGATAAGACAAACTATTTTTTCTTATAGCTTTTGCTAACAAATAGACACAGATATTTAAACTTTCTAGATAAAAGGTATAGTGGATTGATTCTTTCAGGTTTGAGTTCTGGGGGGAAAATCTTTTCTATTGTCATTACTTATCTACCTTTATCAATAATCATTCTGCAAAATTGACATTTACAAGTGCTAATATCTACATACTTTAATATGTTTTTATGAAAAGTTATTTGTCTAGGATTTCACTGAAGACTCCTGTGATAAGTTAGGAGTTACAGTTTTACCTCCTGCCACCAGATAGCTGCGGATATGATGTACCCCCCGGATGTGTGTCTGTGTGTTGCAAGTCATCAGTAGATGAAGAATGAACATATCAAGGTATTTCTGTATCCTTCTGACTCATTAAATTTAGAAACATTAATTCAATTCAATTTAGTTTATTTCTATAGTGCCAATTCATAACACACGTCATATCAAGGCACTTTACAGTTCAACCAGATCATACAGTCAAATTGATTCAAAGTTTTCTATCTAAGGAAAACCAGTTGATTACATAAACTCATCGACTCAAATGCAATCCCTCATTACATTACAACTCAAATTTTCTCTTTACCCCTTTAGACAAAATCTAGTTCTGAAAAGAGCATGAATTCTGTACTTATCTTTAATGTTAGTATGTTGATGTGCCTTTATGTGTAATTAACCACAGTGTTTTTGTTGTCAAGTAATTATGAATATATGAAAAAATAGTAATATATAATAAATTAAAATGTTTTGAATATTTCACTTGAGAGTATTACTGCTGCCACTGTCTGTATTAGAGGGAAAAAATGGTAGGGGTGGCCAATGATTGGCTAACATGGCCAACCCTGGCCCACCATCTAGCTCCTCCCCTATTTAAATCTTGGGAGTAATTTTTAAATCTGCATCATATAGATCATTCTAATTTGACCTGAGAAATTACCCACCTCACCTCAGTTTCACTAGTTCTATTACAACAACTAGTAGCCTAGGAAACATTTTCCCAACACAAGACAGTTAATATATGCCAGGACTGCCCCTGGACTTTTGCCCATCACTTACCCAGTAGATAACTGAAATTTTATTGAACTTTATTGACCTCATATTGGAGAAATTAACTCTCTGCATTTAACCCATCCCCCCAGGAAGCAGTGGGCTGCCATTGTGCGGTGCCCGGGGAGCAGTGTGGGGTTAAGGGTTTTGCTCAGGAACCCAGAGTGGAGGCTGTGGGGGAAAAAAACAGGTAATTTCAACCTTCTCAGAACACAAGCGCACTGCTCTCACCCACCAGGCCAGCGCTCCCCTTTACATGACAATAAACCTACCTATAACTTAAATTGGGAATACTATTATACTCATTCTCTATATGGAAGAAGAATGCTTTTATAATTTAGAGATCTTACACTTTTAAAAACAACTGAGCATGCACATTGTTTTTGTCTCTAGTTCTGTGCAAAGTTTTCTAACCTATTAAGCCCTACATGTTTTAATAGATTTCAGCCTGAAAATACAAACCTGAAATAAATAAAGAATAGCTCCACAGATATCTGGTCTAAAGGAAAATCGCTGGTACCTGTTTAAAAGTAAGACTTATATATATATATATATATATATATATATATATATAAACACAATTATTTTTCGCCCCAGTGAAATTACTACTGCAACTGTGTATGTCTGATTTATTTGTGATTAAATGAAATATTTTTTTTTTTCCAAGTATCACTAAATAATCAAAACATCCTTTTGAAAACTCAGATGCATCAGTTTCTATAAGTCATCATTTTGACAGACAAGCAGGCACGCCTGTCCTTTGGCAGATTAGTCAGATGTGCCAAAAGTGTACTAAATGTATTTTTACCTCATATAAAGGAATCTGCTCAAATAAAATACTGATATCCACTGAATTACTCTATGTGCATATAATCATTCAACCTTTATATACAAAAACTGTATAATAATCAATTTTAGGGATTTTTTTTTAACATAACTGAACAACAATGAGAATCACTCGAAAGCTCTTTCTCTACACTAGACATGATGGATTTGAGCAAGAAGATAGGATTTCCTTTTAGACTTCGTTTCACTGTAAAGGACCTGTAAATATGTAAGTTTAGGTTGCTCTAATACCATAAATACTTGCTAAAGGTATTTATGACCATGCCACATTCACCACTGTAAGAGTAAAAGTTGCCTTATTTTTTCAAATATATTATATATAATGGGTAATAATAACATATTCGTATATACCTGATGCATTGCTTATTTTAACTTCTCCAAATTAGGCTTTTCTAGTTTTAAAGCAAATATTTAGTTATGTAAAAACACAAGGAAGTTTTTTTCCCCTATGTAAACAGGTCTGGCTGCCTCTAAGGTGATGATGCCTATCTCAACATTTAAGTCAGTGGGAAGAGATCCATAAAAGATCTACTTTTTATTTTGAAATTATACAACCAAAGGCACAAGAGGGAGGTCTAAGAGCTTTGAAATATTGCACTTAGAGCAAAAAATAAAACGTTGACATATTTCAGACACTAAAAAAGAAAATTTTAAAAAATTACAATGGTAAGTTTGATTAAATTCAATCCTGTTAGTGCTCTTCAAGACACAGTCGCTGTCCAGCTTGGCCAAAAGGTAATGGCGTAGTATATGCCTTCAAAATAAATGCATCCCATTGAATACTCTTAAACCTTACACAGTACAAACCTGTAAATATTTATTCAGTGTGAGGAAAAATCCCATTTATTAGAAAACCCAGATCTCAAATTACCTAAGCTCACACAGTTCCACTTCAATACCAAATCCGTCTCACTGTAACGGTAGGATGGAAAATAGCATCCAGCTGTAATGTCTATTAGGGCTGAAACATTTAATGTGATTGTGATTAATCAATTATTGAAATAATCGTCAACTAATTAAGTAATCGATTGTTAACTGGAGTGTAGGGACTCTAAAACATGCCTTTAGCTGTCAGAGTAACCAACCTTGAGCAGAAATTATGCCAAAATTGTAATAAATAAAAAAATGTGCAAACATTTTTGCATTTAAAATAAAAAAAATTTTATCAGTCAAAATGCTCCACCCAGAACTCAAGTGGAAAAGCTTTGTTTTCATTTGTTTTAATTTTGCAAAATGTCTTCTTTAAGGAACATTTTGCATTAATTGACAGATTAATTTGCAAAATAATCGTTAGTTGCAGCCCTAATGTATACACGTAAAATAAATACATTTCATTCTAATTTCTTTGAGTAAGAGGTATTCTACTTCCAAAAAAGAATCTGAGGTCTTTTACTAATCTTTATCATGGATGCCACAATATATTAGTTTATCTTATTTTGGCTTTACCTGTATGAAAAAAACAAAACAGAGACAAATGAAATACTAAATTATTTTATTTACCTGAAACAACAACCTCAGTAATGTATGTACTGTACAATCATTATCAGCCTTCAGCAATGATTGACGTTTACATATGGTTATATCGTTTTTTTTTTTCCAACCGGGTGTCAGGAGATGACCATACAGGGTCCCTCACATTAAATCACAGTTTTACACCAGTTGATAAAGATACATAATTATAGGAATGTCAAGGCATAAGAAAAATTAAAAGGAGCTGTATTGCAGGTTTCACTGAGAAATGAGCGACAGTCTGTTAACCTAAACTCTCTAACGGCTAATTATGGAGTTAACTGGCAGAGTGAGCGATACTCTCACATTAGGTGATGTGATAAAAATAAGTTAAAAAACAAAATGCTATTTAAAAAAAAAAAAAAAAGCTAAAGTTAAGCACAGTCAAGTTCAGCATGAATCATTTATCCATGTCCAACATTGTGCAAATGACCCAAAACCATTACAATAAAAAGTGATTTTACAACTTTTCTTTTTCCTTCTTAAAACTCTCACGTCATTTTGAGTATATTATACATTAGAATCTATAAATACAAATTTGTAAAGCCTACATACAGCTGAAAAGCATGCATGAATGTTTTTTGTACACTGATGTACAGCTAAGACCATTCAACACAATTTTTTCTTCTGCAAAACTGATCTTATGCGACTGACGAGCTACTTATGGAAGATTTTCATGCAAGGAGGATTCAGGAGGGGATGTTTTGAGGACATCCCTGCACATATAGCTGGATCAATGTCCTACATTAGCATATACAGAGTTGTGTGCCACTGTTTGCGTTATACTGTGGGAGGGGGAATTGGGGGCAACTAGCAGGATAATTGTACACATTTAGAAAACACCTTCTTATTACCCGTGTGTATGTATGCTGCTGGTCGTCACGGTGTCTGCAGTGAGCAAAATTATGCGTATAAGCAGTGAGCACACACCTAGTGGCAAGATGATTCTCCAACTTCTCATTCTGCTCTGATTGCCAAGTTTTTATGAAAACCGACCTAGGAGAAAAACAGAAACATCATCAGAGAGCAAACCTAAAAAATGAAAAAGTATATATATACATATATGCAAAATGTGTATTTGAGGTTTACTGTATATATTTAAGCAAGTGTCAGAGGTGAACAGTACAGCACACGGTGACGTTCACTAAGGTGAGATGTGGTGAATGATGCCATGATTACTTCTCTTGCATATGTATATTCACATATGAAGATATATCTGCAAAATGATTGCATCTAAATGAAAGAAAATGCTGAATTGTTTCAATAAGGGTGTGTTTTTAATGTACAGCGCCTTTAAAGGTTCTTAAACACCTTAAACCCTTCACATATTTAGTAACATTCAAGGCACAAACTTTGGTGTAATTTTCTTTTGATATGAGATACCACAAAGCAGAAAATTGTTACAGTGGACAGTTTTTTTGGCCTGTATTTGTATTCAGTTACCACTGAAAACTGTTTTATTTGAAACAGTATTACAGCTGTTCTGACTGCCTTAGACTTTGGGGTTATGGACCCCAAGCTTTTAACAACTAAACTAGCACTAATTAGACCATTTTCCAGAAATATAGTTTAGCACAACTGCATACAATAAGAATCCGCCAAGAGGTGTGTGGTGAAGATGGATGGACTTCAGCAATCCACAGCTCAAATTATGTAAGACAAAATGTAACTAATTGTCTGCAGCAGGAACAAGACGGTTGATAAATGGCAGTTAAAAACAAAGTAGACTGAATCGCATAAACCAAAGCATATAAATAAGAACGATTTAGTGAAAGTTTGCAACTAAATCCAACTGAGATTTAGTAAATAGCGGAAAATTGATCCAGAGAAATCAATTTCAAAGAGGGACAGATTTAGCGCCATCACTGTAACAAATTAAGTTGTATAAAAAGCTATTGAGTCCATGTTCCTCCCACTTAATATTTATGTACTTTGTGTTCGTCTTTCATGTAGAATACACCAACGTTTGTAGTTGGAATTGACTAAATATGGAAGAGGTTGAGGAGTAAGAGTTCATTTTTAGGCTCAGTATATGGTGGATATAAGAAATGGATACTCACTCTAATGATAGGAGAGCCAATGGAAGGCATTTAAAGAAAAAGAAGCACACCTTTGTTAGGGCAAACAGGCAGTGAGAACAAACAGGCTTCTACCTAAAAAAATGCTTTAGTTCGGAAAATATCCACAAATTCAAGTTAATGGTCAAACGTCTCTACTCTCGAGTCTGAAAACCTAAAGCTTTGATGTTTCTTAAATTATGGTAATATATACACACAAGAACACTGGAAATTATAAAACAGCATCAAACATAAATGAAGACAGACAACACTTGATTCAAAGGGTGATATGAGTGTATTTCTTGTGTAGAATAAAAAAAAAAAACGACAACACATTTGGGGTTTTGATCTGCAATCAATGTTCATTTGGATCACTTGTTTTAGTATTTTATTTTGTACTGTCCTTTGAATCAAACACTACGGAGATGGTAACAACAAACAGCACCCAGCTCTGTCGCTAATGTAAATTAAGTTAAAGAATGTCACAATCAATACAAACAAGACACAACTTTAAAAAAAAACGTTAAAGGGGAAGGAAGATGTTTTTATGTTTTCTGCACAAGAAGGTAGGGGGCACACCTCAGATGTTATCTTTTAACAAGACGTGTTGAGGGAATCATCTCGAGATGAGCAAAAAAATAAAAAAAGAGCATTTTTTTCATCATATTGAGGTAGCTGTGCTCTGCCCAGTGCAGAAAAAAATGACTTAATTTTAATCAATATTAAAAAAAAAAATGATTACACAAAGCTGTTTATGCTTTAATAATGGAGGGGGACGTACACATCTTAAATTAGAAATGAAACTGGGTATAATTCATGCATGGTCACAGGACATGCAGCACTTTTTTGTTTCCCTGTTTTGTTTTGCCGTTTCTTTAAGCCGAGCATCCCAAACCTTTCCCTTGTTTCTTGTCTGCCAAATGGAGCTTGTCCTCTCAGACAGTTTTGAATTTATACTAAAGACACAATGGTAAACAAAAAATAAATCAAGGCGGTATCTCTAAGCCACACTGGTTAAACAATTTACAAAGCCATTAAAAAAAATGCATAAAATAGTGTTCAATCTCTGTACAGATCAACTGATTTGATATCTTCAATTTGTGTTCCGAAGAACAGGAACCTAAACAAAATTATAACAGTAGTGACATGGGACAGAATGCAGATCCTAATAATTAAAACATACCTGCAAGGCAACATGACAAAAAAAAAAAACTGGCACAACTATTTTTTTCTTTTAAACCAGCAACAAAGTCCAAAGCTATGGGAGTCACTTCAAGCCTCAGCCATTCCCAACTCAAACAGGCAACTTAAATGTTAACTCTTTATATTATTTGTTGCGTTTCATGATTTACAGTTGGTTCTTCTCATGCACTCAAGCTCACACATTCACACAATCACACACAACTAACTCTACAAACGCACACACGCGCGTGCGGTAGCTATGGACAATTAGGAAGGCAGAGAGATGCACAAGGAGAAGTGATGGCAGTGGGTGAGGGTTGGGGGAGGAATGGAAAAAAAAAAGTTATGGTTGTGCTAAAGTCAGTCAAGACATGAACATATCAGCCAGGTTAGTGTCAGAGCTGTAGATCCAGAGGACCAGAGGGAGGGAGATGGCCACGAATGGCCAGGAGATGCCCTCCATACATGCAAACAGGGAGCAGCCTTTGGAGCTGGCGGGCCTCTCCAGCTCTCTGCCGCGTTCCAGGTAGTTCCTGGAGGCAAACTTGAGGAACTCGTCAAGCAGGATGACAGGCAGCGAGATCTTCAGCACCATTAACCACTGGGTCAGATTGAGAGGTGTAATCTGGAAGATGATCTGTGATATGAAAGAAGAAGTTAAGCTTCCATTGCGAGGGTTTATAAACTACAACACTACAACTATATAATGAACTATGTCCTACTGGAAGAGGCTCCACATAGAGGATGAGGAAGTGAAGGGACATGGAGAGGCAGATGGCACCCAGCAGCCACACATTCTCCCAAGGAGGCATCCGCAGCAGCGACTGGTTCTCTGACACACTGTGGAGAACAGGCGGAGGTGTTCAATAAATGGTCGCTAATAAACTTTTCTTTGCCTTCAAAAGTTGTTCTGTCCTCCTGCATCAACATGTCACCTTGCAAAAATATTTATAACCTTCAAGTTTTCAGCATTTTTTCTTATTATAACATTGAAAGTTGTAAGAAACATGCTTTTCGAGGGGTAACAATGAAATATGTGTAAAACCAACCTGTTGAGGGCGTTGCACATTTCAATAGTAACCAGTACCGACAGGGCCATAGTCATGGGGTAAGGGGATTCAAACACCTTACAGTCCACACCCTGGTAGTCTGGATTTTCAGGGCCACATTGCAGGAAATGACTCTGTAAGATATGAGAGATGATGAGAGATCAGAGTCTGGAGCTAATAGCAAAGTTGCATTAAGTAAACACGAGGCAAATGGTAATGTCAGAGGTTAACACCTACCAGCTGGTAAAAGGTGATCCTTGGTCCATCCTCAGCAGCAACAAACCACCAAGCAGCAGCACCAACTGTAGCAGCTCCAACATAACCTATTAAAAAGAGACAAAACTATGAAAATGAAATGGAAGGCAAAAGCAATATCATGCAGGTTTCTTTATTTAACATGGTGTTTGTATTTTTTCAAGAAGAGCACATTGCATAGTCATGCATTGTCCTAACTTACACCCAATGGCAAGGTATCTGAAGAAAAGCCATCCGGAGATGAGGGGCTCCCTGGCATTCCGTGGAGGTTTGCTCATAATATCCAAGTCAGGTGGGTTGAATCCTAAAGCAGTGGCAGGCAGACCATCGGTAACCAGGTTGACCCAGAGCAGCTGGACGGGGATGAGAGCCTCAGGGAAACCCAGAGCTGCTGTCAGGAAAATACTGCAACCACATGAAGAATAATTGTCAAGAAGGAGAACATTGATGGTAAAACATATTTATATCTAGAATTGGGAGTATTTAATAGGGAACATCAAACCAGCTCTCCTTACCAGACAACCTCCCCAACATTGGAGGAGATGAGGTATCTGATGAACTGCTTCATGTTGTTGTAAATGGCTCTGCCTTCCTCCACCGCAGCTACGATGGTGGCAAAGTTGTCATCAGCCAGCACCATCTCTGAGGCAGTTTTAGCCACAGCCGTTCCTGAGCCCATGGCAATGCCGATCTCAGCCTTCTTCAGAGCAGGAGCATCGTTCACACCGTCGCCAGTCTAAACCCAAAACAAAGCCGGTCAGCAAAACATATTTCCTGTAACTGCTACTGCTGTGACTTTGAGGCGCTCTTTAATACCATAGCTGTAATCTCATCATAGGACTGCAGATACTCGACAATCTTGGACTTGTGCGCGGGTTCAACACGAGCAAAGCAGCGAGCCTTGACCACAGCATCCCTTTGCGCAGCAGGTGAGAGATCATCAAACTCTCTGCCAGTGAAAGCCATGCTGGAAACATCGTCATCTTCTCCAAAAATGCCAATACGTCTGCAAATAGCCACTGCCGTACCTACAATATTTGCACACACAGCATTTACTACTTCAGACTTGAACATTTAAACATTTTAGTCTCTCCAGTTTTGTGATTTGTGTATTTTACCCTTGTTGTCTCCAGTGATCATAATTACTCTGATGCCAGCAAGACGACAAAGCCTAATAGAAGCTGCTACTTCTGCTCTGGGAGGATCCAGCATGCCAACACAGCCCACAAATGTTAGATCAGTCTGAGAACAAAAAGAAATACAGACTATAGAAGTTAAAAAACAGGTCCAACTATGAGGCACAGCTTATCCTACTCCCCAGGCTCTCACCTCATATTCCACAAAGCGAGAGGAATCCTCCAATACAAGGCTTTCTTTGTTTGCAGGGTTATCTCGCGTTGCCAGAGCCAGACAGCGCAGAGTGTCTCTGCCAGTCCCATACTCTCTAATCACAGACATGATCTTTTCCTTGATAGCAGGGGTCATGGGCACCTTGCTGCTGCCCACACGGACATGTGTGCACCTGTCAATAACTCCCTCTGGGGCACCCTATAAGCAAAGATGGTTAAGATGATGAAATGGGCAGGAGATATCAAAAGACATAAGATGTCCATCTGCAGATCCTTACACATTTTAGACTGAGTTTTCCCAAACAATTCCAGAAAATAGCCTTTTTTAACCACCGTTTTGAGGAGTGTTAAAAGAAGAAGATTTGATTTTAAGGCTGATTATGGTCAGACTTAAAATGTGAACCTGGATAAGTAACAAACTAAAAGGATGGAATGGGTGGGAAACAGAGTGAAAAAAGATCATGGAGGCCTGGTGGAAAACCAGATGAAGAGATAACAGACGAGCAGAGGGACAAATGGATAGAAGATAATGAAAATGGATGGACTGACAATACTGAAGGGATGGATGAGATTACAGTAAGAGAGAAGACGATGAATTGTGGACAAATGGACTGAAAGATTGCGTGATGAAAATGTGGAGGTGGGGTGCCTGGTCGAGCAGCTAAAGAGACAGACCAATGAGAAATAGATGAAGGGATGCACGGACAAATAAGGACAAGTGTATAATTGCAGTTAATGAGGAAAAATCTTTTTGTCTAAACTCTGCTCTCTTACAGATACAGAGTTTTCTTTTACCTTGACAAACATCTTGCCTAAAGGAGACCTCATTTTATTTGGAGTGCAGTATACAGACATAGACTTCCTGTCTCTGGAAAACTCCAGAGTAAATTCCTTCTTCATGAGCTGCTTGATCACCTATGATGAATGGAAACAGACATGAACATTTATATATCATTTTAAGACTTTATTGTTTGCTTTAAAGTGTTAAAGGTTACATACAGAGTTGCAGGCATTGGCTCGCTCCACTTTGGACAAGCTTTTAATGTCCGTATCAAGCACGTTCATCTTCTCCACCAGACATGTCAGAGCAGTCTCTGTGGCCTCTCCCACCTTCTCATATACACCTTTTGTCTAAACATAAAAAAAAACATTAATGACTGAAACAGAAACAAGTACAATGTCCAAGAGAAAGACTTTACACCACAAACCTCATTATAGTCCAGTGATGAGTCATTGCATAGAGCACAGATAGTGGCCAGCTCAACCAAGCCATCATACTGGGAGCATTTTACTGGTTTACCATTGTGAAAGCTAAAACATAAGAGAAGTGAAAAGATTGATGCATATTACCGGTTTAATGGTTCGCACATAGAGTTCCTCAACACATTTCTACATGTATGATCTGGATATTTTAGCTGTAAAATCATTAACTTGAGCTCAGAAGACATTTTAAAGCATTGAATACTCACACTTCTCCCTCTGGGGCGTATGTGGAGCCGGTAACAGTGAATTCCTTTAATGTGCAGTGCTCCCCTTCTGCTTTATCGATAATAAACATCTAAAATGTATAAAAAACATTAAAAATATATTTTAAAAACTGCTTGAAAAGTCAGAGTCAAAGAAACATATCTAATGTATCAATGCTCAGTTTTTAGATTGAAAAAAAAAAATGGAAGGCAACATTATTCTGTCTTTAATCCAGCAGGTGGCAGCCTGTTACAACAGTGAATAGGTTATAATCCAAAGCATACAAAGAACACTGTGGCGGGTCAGTTCTATAAATGTCATCTTAAAACAACCGAGGCACAATCTTCTATGTTGGAGTTTAAGTTCAGGAACACAAAGTGGAAGATTTAATCCACTATTTGGAAGCAATTTAATTCTAACCTTATGGTTTGAATCGTTGGATCATACCCAGAGTAGCAGAGTGTAATAACCTTCAATGCAAACTTCACTTAAATATAATCACTTAATACTATCATCACAGCTTCTGCCAATTTTAAGAATATGCTGCACTTCAAGCTGCAGTTTCTCATCCAGCAGTCAAATGAGTAGTTATTAATAACTACATTCAAAATTGTACTCAGCATCTGCTCTTAAACCCAAGGGAACGTATTTCCCTCTTCAAATGAAAAGTAAAATGTCCATTTAAAATGATGTGCAGGCATTATGTCAGCACTCAAACTACAGAAAGATGTAGATATCCAGGCAAAGCAGAAAGAGACACAAGGTCAGTTACGCAACTCAACTGGTTTTTGCTGCTGACTAACTACTGCGTACTGATCAGAATTCTGTTTGAGTGGAGGGGCGGCGGTAGAAAATACGCATCCTAAAACATAGAGGCATGGAAAAGGAGAGCCGTACGCTCAGATAGGCAGTACCCGACATAATAGACAAGATATTTATGCTTAGAACTCTGGATGGTGGAAAAGAAACCATCTAATTTTCTATGTTTCCACTCTAATACATTAATATTTGTAATGGGTCATCCAGACAGAGCAATACGCACTTCCCACAGTGCTGCTGATCCCAGAAGGATTCTTTCATACATAAACATATCCTGCAACACATCCCCAGTGTTGTGCTCAAACACATTTACAACAGCCCTTACATTTCCTAAAAACCCTGAGATGCTCTTCTTTCACATGACAAACCTAAACTGGGTGAAATCCTCCTTGGCATCTAAAAAAGCTCTTTTAGGTAGTGAATAAAAACCGTAAACTGAGTCTTTTGGTTATTAAGCTAAACTACTTTAAGCAAAGAGCAGCAGCATTTCATAACAATGGTTAAAACTATTGGTGCTATATTATTGCACTCATTGTTTTTCTTTGTTAATGGGGACAATATAACAATCCCATCAGTTTATAACTTGGCTATAAAACCTTATTTTGCACCTTTTTTTAACAGTTTATATTTCATTATCAAACGCAAATTTTTGCATTGCAATTTTTTTGTTTTTGCCTAGGAGCTTGATGCAGACAGGGTGTCTCCAGATAAGGTTGCATCAACAGCAAATAAATAACCGACAGCTGAATGCATTCCATCACTGTGGTCATTTCTTTATAACCATCAGAAATCAGTATAGCTAAAATGACACGGCTAGTATTATATTTAACTGTCACATGACAGTCTGCCTTTGTCCATGTTCTGCTCTTAGAGTTGAATATGGCCATGTTATGTCAACAACTAATTTACATTCATAATATATCCTAAAGATTCTCACCCCCCACTTGGAAACCTAAAGAAATGTAACGGATCAGCCTACTGGAACCGTCGGGCATCTATCCAAACTTTTCTATTTACTGGTGCCTGTAAAGCAGACACTTGATCATGGTGTGCTGTAAAACTATAAACTCCATGTGGTCTTCTCTTTTCCAAGAAATGTCTGTTCACTTACCCTGCAGACAGACATCTGATTGGTGGTCAGAGTGCCCGTTTTGTCGGAACAGATGACAGATGTACAGCCAAGGGTCTCCACGGAGGGCAAACTGCGGACAATGGCATTCTTCTTGGCCATGCGGCGTGTTCCCAAAGCCAGGCAGGTAGTGATGACAGCAGGCAGACCTAGAGACGGGTTACAACAGATTCACAGACGGGAACAGCATTAAGCTTAAGCTGATGAAAAGCACAAAAAGATGGTTTTCCTTTAGTTTTCTATACCTTGACAGGTACAACTAAATAAATGTTGCCATGTTTTTTGTACGCCTTAGGGGGCAAAAACATTTTCTGGGCATGTTGAATTGTTGTTGTAACTAGGCTTACCCTCTGGAATAGCAGCGACTGCCAGAGCCACTGCAATCTTGAAGTAATAGACTGCCCCTCGGATCCAGGAACCACCGTGGACAGGGTCGTTGAAATGTCCGATATTGATGATCCAAACAGCAATGCAGATCAGTGAGATGACCTGTGATAGCACATTTGTTCAGGGTGAAGATTTTTGACAAAACTAATAGGTTACCATTATCCATTACACATTGATCTAAACCAGAACTCTTGACAGAAGCGTAGAAATCTGTAAACCTTGGATAGTTGCTGCCCAAACTCATCCAGCTTCTGCTGCAAGGGCGTGCGCTCCTGCTCGGTGGCCGCCATCTCATCTCGGATTTTCCCGATCTCAGTGTTCCCGGCTGTGGCCACCACCACACCTACAGCCTTACCTGCGGCGATGTTTGTACCCTAATGAAATTAAGCAGGTAACAAACAGTTAATATTAAAAGATCCTTCGTCCCATCAGGAGAAGTTTGAGCCATTAATGAAAAATTAAAGGCAAATACTTTAATTTTTATTTTGGCAGCATTAATTGTAGTCAAAGAGGGTTCTACAACAAAAAAAAAAAACTTAAAGGGGCTGTACTGTACAACACAAATGTACAACACCCATTCATATAATTGTTTTTAAAAATCATTTGATGTTCCCTTAATTTCATATTTCACATGATCCTTATAAAATATGTGGACCTTTGTGGATAGTGACAACTTTTGGAAAAGCTCCATCAGTATGAATTCTCTTAGAAATCCTGTATGCCTCTTCATGATTAAAAACCAAAAAAGAGGAAAGCATTGTGCAAAAGAAAACTGAAGTGAAAAAGGCTCAACAGGTATCCAAATACAAATGAAAAAGAGACAATCTAGTGAGTCACTCACAGAAAAGAGCATGTTCTTTTTATCCTGGTTGACAGCTCGTGGGTCTGGCACCGGATCTGTGTGTTTGATCACAGATACGGACTCTCCTGCAAGATGATGAAACAGGAGATATGAGAACAGGAAATGGAGTGAGTTTCTACACAGCAGAGCATGAAGAGGTAATAGTGGTGGCTGGCTGGCTGGCTGACATTTTAGGTAGATGTGTGGAAAAGGCTTAGCAGCTGACTGAGCGAGCCTGAAGTCTATCAGATACTGCCCAGGTTCTGTCTTTCAAAGGCCTTATCTAATGCCTGCTTACACACCGTCTGTGTGCACTTTTGGACATAATCAACTGTGCATGAATTGTAAAGCTCTAAAAGAACAAGACCAGGAGCGTTTGAAAGGCGGCATGGCCATGAATGGGGAAGGAAAGAGAGGAGAAAAATAGCTCAAACACTAAAATATCCCATGGAATTTGCTACCAATTAAGGCAGCAGAGCAAGACGAGAGATTTAAGGAGTTGATTCACTTCTTCTCCTGAACATCAGACATCCTTCTTAATCTGTAAATTATCCATCCACAGATGGATGCAGGACAGTCCTTGTTCAAAGTACACTACTTTTTGTAATATAGACTCAGAATAATGGATTACTATATGCAAAGAGGGCGATTAACTTCACCTACATGTCCAGACTAGACAAAGAGATTTTATTAAAAGAGACTAGTAACTCACAGTGGATAAAGAGGAAAATGAGTGAATGAGGATAGATAAAAAACTTGTTTTGAAAAGCTTTTACCTGTCAGAATCGACTGGTCCACCCTCAGAGTGGTTGACTTTATAGAAGTCAGTCTGATGTCTGCAGGCACTTTGTCACCAACTGTGGACAGAAATGACACTTAAGAGATCTTACATTTTAGCTGCATTCACAAGTAAAAAGAAAGACGCATAACCAGAGATCTTACACGACTGATGGCATAAATGCATATTCTTCAAGGATTTTATCTTAACAAAAGTTCTGAGCTTTCACACCATTTAGCCGCAGAATAAATACACACATTCAAAACAGCTTTATGGCAACTTTCTACAGCTGTGAGACTTCAAAAGAAAATCATGAGGAAGCTGGAGAAGAAAAGGAAGCACAGAACAAAAGAAGGAAAGTAAGGATAAAAGTATTGACAGACAATAGATAATGAATATATGAATGGATGTAGAACAGATGAATTGGGGAATGGAAAAAATATCAAAATGGATGCATAACAGATATAGAACAGGTGGATCTATAACAATGGATAGATAGATGGAGGGATGCAACAACTAGACAATGCACAAAAAAATAAAATTAAGTCTTGAAATGTTTACACTCACGACTCTTTCCTACTGCATCAAGAACCTAATTTCAAGTAAATAATACCTGATGTTACGTTAAAACCAGGGATGCACCGATCCGATATTTTTATCGGTATCGGTCCAGGTATAAAGGAAAAAAAAAAAGTAGATCGGTATCGGTGACAATTGACTCTCAGCCTACTAGCCCTATGGCTACGTGCAATATATGTGGGAGAAATGTTCCGAGGGGCGGTGTTAAATCTTCAAACTATAACACCACCAACTTAATGAAACACAACCAGAAGTTTAATAACAACGAACATGCTGAGATATCGGACTCAGCAAACAAAAAGGAAGCAGCAGGAAGCAGCTAACTTTGATGTAAGCACAGGAAAGAAGTGAAATATGTCCATGTGACAGTATACAGGCCAAAGAAATCACAGAGATAATGCTTGATAATGATAATTTTTTTTTTTTTTTTTTTTTTACATGTTGACCAAGTCAGAGAACTTTTGGTTTAAGATTTTGTGCACAGTTGGTAAATAAATGAGTCATAACATTTATATTTGGGTTGTTTCCCCATTTTATTTTTTATTTTTTACCAAAAGGGAAATCAAATCATATGCACAGAAGAATTATCCCTGTTTTTTTTTCACACAATAAAACCATTTTTAGATAATAATTCAGTGCACGACATTAAACTTCAAATATCGGTATCGTATCGGAGGTGAAAAATGTGGATCGGTGCATCCCTAGTTAAAACCCAATTCTCCAAATTCAAATCGGACCAAAAACAAAAAGTACAACCTTAAAAAGCAAAACAAAAGGTGGACAGCGGCTGAATCAAAAAGCTGACTAACACTAATACAGCTATCTTCGGAGAGTAATAAGATAACAGTTTTGTGTTAGAGGCATCAGGAAAAGGTCACGCTTTCAGCATTAATAATGATTCACTCAGACGAGAACAAACCACTAATAGAATTCAGGATGTTCTTTTTTTTTTTTGTCCTCAAAAAGAAGGCTCCAGCAATAAAATAAACTTGAAATGTAAACATATTTCAAGCACAGATCTTCGTTTGAATCTTAAGGCACAAGAGAAGCTGCAGACTTTTACTAGACCTATAAAGATGAAGCTGTTCTGCAGCTTTACTTGGCTTGGGTTAAATGAAAAGGGAGAAATGCTGATAAGCACGGTTCAACATGTATCTTGTAATTTAATAAAAATGTCTTTTTCTTCCCCTCAACAAAAAACATTAAAACCTCTTTAAAAAGTAAAAACCAGCAGAGATGCATAAAAGAATTATATCTAGAGGCTATCATTTGATTATTCATGGCTTATTTTTAGACAAATTTACTGAAAAACCAGAACGGAAACTGCCACTGTTCCCGAGATATTTTCCATTCACTTTGACATCACACAGCTTGAAAGGGCGAAGATAAAAGCGATGACTCGGAGGCGCTTTAGAGATCACTCTCTGGACAGTACAGAGTGGTGACAGACATGTAAACCAACCCTAAGGATTCTGCTGTGCCTGTTGGAGGAGAGGAAAAAGTGGGTTTAGATGAGTTTGTTAAACTGTACGCCCAAAAATGGGAAAACTATTTTGATCATTTGAAGACATGCAGCTGGAATAAGGGGAGGGGGATGATTAGAACATCTGTTTAAAGTAAGGATATCCCTCGCCTTGAGATGAGCTAAAATAGAAACAGTGCCACATGTGACTGCATCCAGACAGTTCATTAAATCTGACCATTCACACAAGACCATTAGAACTCACTTCCTCCATGAAGAAATGGACTCAAGTCAGAGAAACATACTTCATAAGCATCTGGGCTGGAAAGTAAACAAATGAGGTCCTGATTCTGCAGAAATTTGTTTTCACACGGTATTAGAGTAATACTTGTTGCCTCTATAGTCATGCTCATGGATTGGATGGGCTGTTCTACCTTATTTGGTGTCAATGGTTTACTATGCACTGTCAAAACCTATCTATCACGGCTATATCCCTTTAAAAAACAGAAGAGGGAAGAAGATGATGCACTCAAAGCCTGTGGGAAGCTTCTAACAAAAAGTCACTAATTAGAAAGCCTCTAACCAATAGAGAAAAAAAAAAGGACACCCTGCTAATTTCCTATTCACTGGGGTATACTGGGAATAGGGTCACGGTAACCCACTTACACTGTAAAAAAGGGATGGTTTGGAAGTCAGATGAGACGAGTAAAGGCAAATAAAACTCTTGAGTTAAAAATTAAAGGATAATAGATAAGGGTACATTAAAATAAGCTCCAGATAAAATATACTTTTCTTAGTAAAAGTTTAAAACCAAAGCAAAATATAATTGCTACAAGACAGTACTTCTTTTTCACAATGCTAATAAAATTTTACAATATTGCACTGAAAGTGTTCTGGAGTGACCCAATTTTCAAATCCATGTGGGAAATGGTTTGCCCTTGGTCTTAAAGAGAACGCTTTATATAGTTTTTTTGTTTTTTTTTTAATTGTGTTAACGGCCTTAAAACAGGGACTTTTCTTCCCTTCCTTCCTCATCTGCTGCCCAAAGATAAAAGACCCGTTAGCTGACATCATAGAAGAACCTTCCACTAGCCTTGCAATGTAGCCCTAAAATACCAATAGAGATGGGAATCGAAAACCGGTTTGTGTTCAGAACCGGTTCTGTGTGTTCCAATTCCATGGCACCGTTTGGCAACTCGCCTAACGGTTCTTTTAACAGTTCCAGGCAGTACCAGAGCCTAGCACTGCGCTGGGCAGCACAACTTACGTCACTTTTTTTACGCAAGCTACGCACATGGCATTCAGTAAGCAAGTACTACGTGACCAGGCGTAAGTCTAGAAAAGCAAAACAAAAAAATAGCGTCCCATCGGGTAAACCGATCGAAAGTTTGGATGTAAAGCGGCAATAACGTCCAACATGCAGAAACACCTGTGAACACAACATGGTATACATTTTAACAAATGCCGTGTTTTTGATGCCTTCCGGACAGAAGCTAAAGTTACGACCAGCATGGAAGGTAACTGGTGGTAAGTACCTACTTTTATATCACTGGCTGTGATAATGTGGTTCCTAGTAAACCATATGCCATTTCTGGAAATAAACCAATTTCCTACCTCGCTTTGGGGTTATTAAACATGCTACAAAGTTGCTCTGCAGTTTGGGGGCAAGAGAAAAGTGACGCTCATTTATTCAAATCAGGGAGAGATTAGTTTATTTCCCCAAATTGTGTAGTAATGCTTTTTCATTAAACGGATGGCTTCTCCATTAGATTTAGATGATTGTGACGAGACGGGTTGCCTCACTGGCTCAGAGGCCGGCTGCTCCCGTTCACTGCCTTTTGTTTTCTCAGAGGCAGGCAGAAATAGAATGTCCCAGACGAAGGTAGACGAATGTCACCGTGCACTTACCAAGTTTATTGTTTCATAGAATCGATAAGAGAATGAAATCGTTTTACAGAATCGATAAGGGAATCGGAATCATGAAAATCTTATCAATTCCCAACCCTAAGTACCACACGGGTGGCCAATCGAAGAGCAAAAACTGGACCACAAACAGCTGACATGACTTCCAGACACATTAAAGCCACAACACATATTTCTTAAACTGATGGACCAAATTATCTCTGACAAAAAAGTACAAAGGGGTGCACTTGAGTAAGGGATGAAAATGTTATGTTTCCTATTTTACCAGATCAATGAAGACTCCTAAATAATTCTCAAATTTTGATTATGTACAACGATGCAATATAAAAAGCACAAAAGCCCCAAAAATAAAAAAAGAATAAAAAACAATCAAAGTGAAAGCTGCTAATGGAAGCAAACCGATCAAAGAAACAAACACTTAAAAATAACCCGGCTGCATCCATTCTACACATTATATCCCGTCTTGCACACTAAAGTGCTGTTAAGGGTATAATTAGTGGGAACAGACACCAGTACCACATGTAGAAAATAGAACTGAAAACTGAAACAAGTTAACATTTAGATAGTAGGGCTGGCTAGTCCTGAAAATCCCACATTTAACACCCCTGAAAGGTCACTGGCAGCGCTGCACTGTCTAAATGAAACGGTCTCCCTCCATGCTTTGGAAACCGATAGCAGACCCCTTAGGACCAGCAGAATGAGAAGTGCTGGTGTTCTTTCTGAGGACAAGGCCACATTTATCCCTCCAGATTAAATCCTACATCAGTGAAACCGACAACACTGACAACATCAAACAAAAACACTGCAAAGTTGCACCATATATATTGAATCCTCTGAACTTCCATATCAATGCGTTTTTTGTTTTGCACATCTTTTTTCCTCCCACATCGTTTACATTTGATCTCTGCTGCACTTTAAGAAATGGAAATGCCATGAGAGCTGTACAAATCGAAATTTCACTTTGTATACACGGAGTGTATACAATATGACAATAAAAGTTGTCCAAGTCTAAATATATCTGAACATGTTAACAGTCATCTGTTTAATGCCCAACAAGCACCTTGGTTTAGCTAGCTCTCCTGTTTAAGAGCTCAGAGGGCCGTAAACAGCACTCTGGGTCACACAGCTTAGGCAGCAACAGATCCCGCCCTCTCAAGTTACACAAATTCATTTTTAAAGAACAAGCCAGCATAGAGCACCGATGTGCTTTACATTGACCTAAAAAACATTTAAGAAATCTCAAACTAATACTTTGCTGCTTTAATATATCAAATTAATGTGTTCATTTATAAAGTTCATCACAATAACTGTCATAATTCTACCATTTCGGGTTTATTAGTATCGTCCAGTATTAACTACAACTGTTGACTTTGTCAGTCCATCTCTGGTTTTGTCTCCAGCCTAACCATTTTTATCTAACACCCTCTTGTTTTGCATTCACATGATGGATGTAAAACAGAGGTTGGCTTTAAGAACGTAAATGTTTCTTCACCCTCCAGCTATTCAAAACTATCACATGCTAAAGTTCTTTATGATAGAAATACTCTAGAATTTGTTGGGTTTCTCCACTCTCGGTGCTGTAATCATCTAAAGAGCTTATTGTAATAATCCTCGTTATTGATTAGAAACTTTGCATATGGACCATCTTTGACAGTTTATTAGTGATAAAGTTAACCTCTCTGTAGAAAAAAAAATAAAATAAAAGTGGTATAGGCTTAACAGGAAGCACCAAGGACTAAGCAAAGCAAATCGCCAATGGCTGCATCAACCAAATTCAGTCCACTTTTTGAGCATGATGGGTGCTGGAGCTGTAAGGATCCACGGTTTGACTTATTTGTCCCCTAATTTGAGTATTTTGACAACAGGGGCACCTAAAGAGAGGTTTTTGATAAAAGCTTGAACATCTATGTTTTAAAGTTCATAGTCTTTTAATCTTTTCCTCTGAACGTCCATATCCCTCTGAATGTTTATATCTTTGAATAATCAAGTAAGTCTAAATGAAATGCAGATAGAAAATTGCATAACTGCATATACATTATAGAGCCAGATTTTCAATTTTATATTTCTGCAGCAGTAAAATATTGCCAGCTGAGAGCAATATAATCAAAATGGGAACAATTTGAAGTACCTCCAAGCATCTAAAATGCTGCTTCTCAAATGGACACATCCTCTCATATGAGAAATGTCAAAATCACTGAAATTGTAAAACTAAAGCTGAAATAGAAACTGGTCTTGTTAATCTGGTTAATTCAATTTTAATTCCAAGTCCTCTTCACTCCCTTGTTTGGAGTCAGGCTGTGCAAACAACTATTTCCTCAAGGATACAAAGTAAACAACCACTGGTGGGAAAGTAATAAGCCTGGAGGCATCTGGGGACATGTTCTTTACAGAAAGGCTTACTCTCTAAAACCTCAAGTTTGGTGGCCTCTGTTAACTTCTTATGCCACTGCTACATTTATACTTTGTGTATATAAGCAGCAAGAACTACACTGGCTGTATGTGATTATGTTTCTTTCCAGAAATGTGCAGCTGAACTTGAAGAAGTGTTATCATGAAAATTTTAATTTGTGAGCAACACGTCCAACAGTTATTTTCATTTAGGACTACCTTTTTAATCACCTGGAATGTGTGCTGGTATCAGAATTCAGATAAAGACCTAAAAACTATTTTAATGTTGACACAGATATTCCAAAAACATATTTACATGTTTTTATAGGCAGAAATAATAACATTCCATTACTGAAATTCTATTTGTATTTACAGTGATGCACCAATAAAGTGCTCAGTGAGTAAAAGTGCACAATTTTTAACTCCATCACCTCTTCTCTACAGGTAGGTCAAATGCCGAAAAAAATAACTGAGCATCAAAACTGAGGGGCGGTGAATAATGCAGACATTAAGCGGATTAGCCCATATAAAGAAGCTATTTATTTACAATGCAGCCTTACAGGGTTGGATTCCCAAATTTGGTTGTTTAGGTGCATTCATTGCCTCATTGTCCGTTTCCTCTCTGCTTAAGGCAAATAAAATGCCAGTAGTGCCTCCAAGTTAGTTTTAAATGTTGCCAGAAAAATCATGCAATTTTCTGAACTTTGTTTTGTGTTCAATAAACTCAGATAAAAGTTTGAGATTTCAGCAATGATGTTTAAAGCCTATGAAAGGACAAACAGTTAATACAGGTTATATTTTGATTCCTTCTTTTAATCTAGTAAGTTTTAGATCAAACCAAAATTTACACAGATTGGTTTTAAAGAGCTTAAGCCCTGAGAATTTCCATTAAATTCCAGAAAATTTGTCATGCAATTAAACTAATCATTTTATCTTTAATTCGTTTTCCATTTGGCTCACAAAAAAAAAAGGTGGGGGGGGGGGGGGGGGGGGACTATAAAAATACAGCCATTAGAAGTTAGCAATTGGTGTGCTACATTTATGACCACATACCACAGAGAGAGAAACAAATGTCAAAACACAATTTGCAATGCCATTTCTAAACATACAGAGCATCCGGAAAGCATTCGCTAGTAGGAATCCTCAACCACAGTATCTATATGGCTGCAGGTCATAATGACAAAAAAAAAGATTATTTTCTGTACATACTAAAAAAAAAAGAAAAAAAAAAAGAAAGAAGACAAAGTGTTTTCTATGAAGCTCAAAGCTTAGGTCCTATTTCTACTGATCATCTTTGAGATGTTTACACAGCAAAGCTGAAGTCTACCTGTGGTAACTGAGTTGATTTGACAGCCACATTCACACATCTATATGATAAAGGTCCCACAACTGAGGGTGTATGTCATCAAGTCAAAGTAACTGTCGGTAAACCTTTGAGGCAGGATGTTCAAGGCAAAAATCAAGGGAATATTTCTGTTGTTCTGAGGTTCGTAGTAAACTAAGTGGCACCCATCATCCATAAATGGAAGACAATTGGAATCAACAGGTTTCCTCCTACTGGAAAGGGGAGGTTATTTAAAACTGAGAAAGATGACTGCAGTAATGCAAAGAGACATGGATACAAACCTGCTCCATGGTGCTCATGCTCTCACCTTTCAGCTGGACAGCGACCTCAAGCATACAGCCAAAATACCAAAGCAATGGCTTCAGAAAAACTCTATTAAAGTCCTAAGGTGGCCCAAATAAAGCTTATAATGGCCCAAACCTCATGGAACACTTCTAAAACCAAAACGTCCTCGTTCTACCTGATGGAGCCTGAGGCGTTCTGCAAGGGGATGAGGAGACTGCCCAAGCTTGTAGCATCAAGAGGACTTCAGGCTGTAACTGCAGCCAAAAATAAATCAACCAATGTCTTGAGCAGAGGCTGTTAATACCTTAGTGCAAGTTAGGTTTCTAATTTCAACAAACTTTCTCACTAGGGCGTGTTCTGGGTAGACTTTTGAGGGACACAAATGAATCAGAGTAATCTTTTCCACTTGGGGTGCTGATGTTTTAAGCATGTGGAACCACCACCCCCCCACCCCAAGTGCCTCTAGGTCCCTGTGTGATGCAAATCAATGACCCACCCCTCGTTCTCCTAGACTACAGATTGCTCTAGAGTAAATCGGAAGGACTGATAACAATTCCTAGACGGGTGCCGAAATGTTATCAGATGAACAGAGAACGTCCGGTTTCCTCCGATTTATAGGCAGAACTTCGAATTACTGCACACACAAACTGGAAAAATAAAAGATAGCAGGCTTAGCTGTAGAAAATGATTCAAATGGCCAATGAGGCAGAGATGCTCAAATTTGTAATAACAGCTTTCACACACATCTGGCTCAAGTAGATTCTAGTTAAAGTTAGTCAACTTAATTCGCAAAATGCTAAGTGTATTTCTGGGTATTCTAAGCTTGAGAAGGACATCAGTAGAATTGAATTATATGTTATTGACATATTACGTCTGTGTGAGTTACATCAATTACTGGAGAAGAATTTGACAAACTGCAGCTCTTCTTTACTTGGCAGGAAAAGTTTCCCTCTGAAGGTCTACAAGCATTCCAATAGTTTATTCATAGAGGCAGAGTAGATATCCATCTTTATGCATGTTTAAAAATTACTGATGTAGTAGTAGAACAAAAACAATATTTGAATTGGGTGTAAAAGGGAAAGGCAGATGGGGCCTTTCCCACAAAAGATAGAATCCAAAATATATTAATTATTGCAGTGTAATAAAATAATGCTTATTGAAAAGCAGATGTATGTGCTTACAGAAAGTTATGCTTTAGAACCTATTAAGCCTTAACACAATAGCATCAATTTTAAAGTGTTTAACTTGCGGACGCTGGAAGGAGGCCAAACAGTTCCATGCAAATGTTTGGGAACAAAATAGAAATTCCTCAAAACCAATTAAACTGTATTTGCAAGTAATGAAACATTTATTTTTATGGGTAGAAAACCAATTCATATAGCAGGAATTTAAAAAAAAATATATGAAAAAAAGCCAATTTACTAAAAGAAAAGCTAAACAACCAAACAGAAATGAGAGGACCAGAGAAGAGTGGAGCTGTGACGCAAGAGGTATAAACATTTGTGGCCCTGTCAGAGCAGAGGTTAGCCAAGAAATGTTCAGGAACACAGTGAGCCTTTTTTCTCATATTGCTTCAGTTCTTTACATGTACTTAACAATCATACTAAAAGTGTCAAAGGGAGGGAATAAGAGGAGCCAACAGCTGTGTATGTCTAAGACTGAACATAGAAAATTATTCATAGCAATGCAAGATCCCAAACGCAATACATTTCAGCTCCTAGGCTATTTAGCTTCTTAGATTGCTAAATCGTCTGAGACCAACATATAGTTTATATTAAAAATCTTACCAGCCACTTCTACGATGTCACCAGGCACAATGTCCCTGGCTTTAATTCTTTGGACACTTTTCCTGTCCTGGCGATACACTTTCCCCATCTCTGGCTCATATTCCTTTAGAGCTTCTATGGCATTTTCTGCATTTCGTTCCTTCAAAGTAGAAAAAGAAAAAAACAAATATTTTTTTAAAGAAAGAATGGAAAGATGTCAAACAACCCTGAAGCAATTTACAAGATTAGACAGGAACGACGGGATAATATAATTATTCAACACGCCGTTCAAACCATCAAAACAGAAAACCTGTAAACTGGGATGGAAAATTTAAGAGGGAAAAAAAAGCTTTAATAAAACATTGAAGGGTTAAACAGGAACATTTTAAGGGTAAGCCATTGTTTTCATTTCGGTGCCATTTGTTTAACCTTTCTAGTCTCAATGGCTCTAAATCTTTCGTCTTCCTGTTTAGAGCATTTCTTTCAGGCTAGATGGTTTTTGGCGACAGGTCTCAGCTTGTATAAAAGGCGGCCTGAGTTCCTTAGCAGATAACACAAACCAGAGCAATGCTTAATATTAGCTTGTTTACTTGTGTACTGGACTCTGAAGTGTTTGTTTTTAAAAGTACAACACTTGTGTGGTAAATTTTAAGTGCTTTAAAAAGAAAATTTTATATAAAAATATAAAAAGATTGGTAAATAGAACTGTAATAATTAATTACTGCAGGTTTTTGACATATATCAATTTAAACTGTCAGGTTTAATTTTTAAAAAGCTACAATGAGAGTGATATTCACAAAACAATGAAGAATATTCACTGCAACACCAGGTCTCATCTTTAATTCAGCACCATGTTTTGTTGTTTTTTTTATTCATTTTAAATATCCATCAAGTTCTTTTCCTTATTTCGCCTGGAAAATACACTAGAGTGTGGATGCAACTGGGAAGCTATCTACAAGAAAGTACACAAGAAACTAATTCTTAAGGAGGCTTGGGTAGTTTGGTGTTAAAAAGCAGCATCTCTTCTGCCATAATCTGTTGATGTTGCAAATGACTTAAGAAAGCTCTAGCTGAAAGAATGCCTGAGCTGTTCTGGGAACCTTTAGAGATGATTTTGCAAGGAATATCTCATTATAAAAGACCATCATCTTTTCAATGGTTTTCTGAAGATGTTCATAAAATTAAGAACGTCCTCTTCAGAAGACCATTGAACAAAGTGTGTTCACTCAAAGGCCTTTCTAGATCCACTGCAAGACAGACCCATACAGAAGATCCTTCCTGTCTACAGCTATCAACATAAAAAAAATTACTACAACATTTACTTGGTTGTTTTGGACAGAAATGAAATAAATCTTTAGTCTAATAACAACTAAATAAATTAGCATTAGCATGTTGCCAAAATACATACAGCATATGCTAGAAGACTGTTGTATAATAAATATTTAACATTCATGTATTGTGTAAATAAATAACATTATCAATTGAATCAATAATACGTGCCATTTAAAATGACCATTGTCAGTTTTAGACTTTGTTTCTGTCACATTAATAAATATTAAACATAAAATGACCAATATATGTTTTTTTCTCTGATGCAAGGGTAGGCCTTTCAGTGCAAAAATAATCTCAGTTCTCCACGTCAGTATGACTCACTAAGCCTATTTTGAAAGAACACTAAGCATTCAAAAGGGACGTTAAGAATCCTTTAGTGGCAAATATTAAAAATGTAACGTGTGTTTACCTGCCAGACTCCTACAATGGCATTTGCTATAAGAATAAGCAAGATAACGAAAGGCTCCACAAAGGCTGTGACAGTTTCTTCTCCCTCTTCAAACCAGGCCAGCACCTGCATGTTAAACAGAAAGAGTTGATCAGAAATGATATGTGTGATGACAGCATGAAATACTAGAAGCCCTGAATGTGATTTAAGTCAACATGAATACAATTTGCTGGGTTTTTTTCCCCATTAATGCCAGTATGATGGTAACAACAAAAGATGAGCTTCACATTAAAATGTACCACAAAGCAGCAAATAGATTTTACATTGTTAGGTTATGACAAAATATAAATGAGCTCAACATTTTAGGGCACCAGACAAAAAAGGACATAAATCATAGATGTATTTTTATTGACTATAGAACAGCTTCTTCTGTTTTTAATGTATGCATGGTCTACTGGTAAATTGAATTGTTACCGAGAAAGATTGCTGATTTTTAATTATTTTTATTTAACAGATTCAAATTTTTCCATGTCTTAAAAAACAAAAAAACAAAAAAAACTATTCTGAAACTCGTTGATCTATGACCTTTTAAACATACATATTTGTTTACAATTAAAGACGTAGGTAAGCGGATGTTCCAACAATTGCAGTTCCAAATTCTCCAGAGTGGTGCCCGACTTTACACGAGTGAATAAAGTGAATGTGATTGGGGGCGGAATTGTTATGGCGGAAGGTTTGCAAGCACATTTGGTTGTGATCGATGTTTTGGAAGCATCTTGCTAACCAGTTAGCAACTTAGTGCTAGTAGGTTCCCAATGGGAAATGACATTGGGACCAAGTAGCACTAAATTGGTGACTTACAAATGACACTGTCAAGGAACGCTATGGACAGCGGAAACAAGCAAGAGAAAGAGTTTTGTGTCGGAGGTCGTGGATGAGTCTCCTCCCCCACACATTTTATATTTAGAGGAGGAAAGTGGGGACCAAGTTGTTGTGGAAGAGGACGCCAGGAGCCTGGTTTGGTGTAGAAGTTTTACAGCCGTGCATGTTTGAGCCCTTGCCTCGCAACACTACCAGTTCCGTTAGCTCTACGCCTGCCGCATCCCCGTGAACACTGGGACGGAACTCAATGGTAAAGTAAATGATTCTTATTTCTTATTTCAACCGTTGCATATATTAGCTGAGACATATAACCGAAAATGTTTCATTGACAGATTACCGTTGATATATGATTGGCCGAATTTAGGTGTACAAACTGACATATAACTACCTGGACTGCATAAGATAACAAAAAACAAAACAAAAAACAGGAATTTTTTAAAAATAGAAATGTTCTAACTTTTGGGACAGTACGGTCTGATAAAGAGTATATTTATATACATGTTTAAGCCAGAATGATTTGAAATTTAAATATGACAACTTTAAACTCCAATGAATACTGTACAGATTGTTGTTGTTATAAAAAAATGGTAAATAACAGTTGTATCTAGCAGATATGGTTGTCAAAAGTATCGATACTCAAAAAAGTATTGATACTGAAAAGTTGTGTCTGGATACAATACTCATTTTCAAAAGTATCGATACAGTGCTACCACCAGTGGCACCTAAACAGTCATTCATCTTATGCGCAGATTAGAGGAAAATGCACTTTCTGAACACTGTGTGATTGAATAATTCTGCGCACTTTTTGGAAGGAACACTTCATTTTAAATTTGTAAGTTTTTTATCAAGCTTGCTTAATATTGTGCACAGCATACAACCTCAAAATATTGTTTATTGTATTTATTTATTTATTGTATTTTGTTTATTAATGAAAAACATTCTGTTGAATTTTGGAGTCTTTGTTTTTATCCTTGTGGTATCGAAAATGACTTTGAGTATCGAATATTTTACTTAGTATCGGTATCGAGATGAAAAGTTTAGTATCGTGACAACCCTACTAGCAGAGATAATAGCTATCCAAAGCCTTACTCCACCATCTGTAACTTTGCATCCTAGCTTTTGACATTTCCTGATTTAGAACACAGAAAACCTTTTGAGTGCTTCCAAAATCTATCAAATCCAATTTTAGCATCAGGTTTACCATAAAATATTTTTGCTTTAACCTACACTGACATAGAATAGTGCATATATAAATAATCTTTAAGCCTTATTTATCAATTACAACAGTAATAAAGCGTATTTAGAAAAAGTTCAAGCTAAATGTTAGAGGTAAGAAGTTTCAATCCACATTATTTTTCCATTAACGTGTCCTTCAGCATGGACTATCATTCTTCCCTGAAATATGAAAAAAGAACCTTGTTTTTTTAAATTCCTTTTCTATCTGCAAGATATTAGGGAAAGAGACATGTAAACGAAGGATCAAGCTGCTTCTTCTCTTGCCAATATTACAAACTGGGCCAAGTGAGTGAGAAAGAGAGCAGGAACCACTATCTCCTCTTTTAGAATCTGTGCCAGGAGCAGAATGTGTCAAATAAGACGCCAAGTGTCTGAGTCTTTTCTTCCTGAAGCCCATTTAATCTTCCCTAAACAAATTTAAATTGTATGCATTTATTCCATTACATTTATTATTCAAGGTACTTCTACAGAGTTTTTATTTAAAATTAAATACTGTTATGTTTAAATAACCACCTGTCTTTGAAGAATTTGTGTCCTTGAGAAAAAAAACGGTGTTATCCATTTCATTTGTTAACACTGCAATGCTGCATGTAAATGAATTGATCAATGTATCCTGAAAATATTCTTGGACTGGTTATGAGGGCTGAGTGTTAGGACCAAATTTTTCATACCAAAACTAATATATTTTATTCTCCTGATCATTTCATCAACACAAATTATAAATGACAGAAATTTCATTTCAATCATCCTTTCTTGGAGCTGACCTAAACACTAAGTGCAACTAAGTCCAAGCTACAAAGCATGCTAAAAAAAAAAAAAAAAAAAAAAAACAAGTTAGCAGGCCCCCTCACTGTAAACAATGAAAATCTAACATGTTTTCAGTGAGGGATTTTTACACAATGAACTACTTTATCAGGTATGAGCATACATCTAAAAACAAAAAGTGCCAGACTGACTCCAACAACAATGAAAGGACAAAGTAAAAAAAAAAAAAAAAAGCCAGATTTTCTAAAAATAGAATCTGTATAACTGCAATTTAATTTATCTGGATTTAATTTATTTTGGTTAACAGTCCTAAGTAGACCATTAAAGTAAAAATGTTTGCTTGTCTGGATAAGGATGAAGTAGATTGTGATCAGAAAGTTTAAAAATACCTGCATCTTTGAAAGCTGTGCAGGATGTCCAGTGATTTTATTTAATCTCTGGTGGGAGAGTTAATATGGTGTCTTCACTTTGGTTGCACTGCTAAATCTCAAAGAACAATGATTAAAGAGTTTGGTTGTCTTTCTAATTCTCATTATCTGTTATCTCGGCAAGCCGTTTTTCAGCTTCTGATTTGCAAGACAGCATGATGTAAACATTGTCCAGAACAGACAAGGAAAAAAAAGGTTTACGGTCTATGAAGATTTAAGACTGCAGCACATTTTTGTGCAGGTACCGTAACATATAAAAAAATAAAATTTCAACTCAAGTTTTTTCAGTGAAGATATCATACAGACCCATGAACAATACAGAATTATAGAGGGTTACTGGTTGCAGTAGTACAGTCCCCATCAGGGCCTGTAAATACAAACTAGACTTTCTTCCAGAAATTGCTTTCTATTATTCTACAATATTAAGGACAAAGCATGCTGCTTTTTGGAATGACATAATCAGTGCTTGCTCATGTTTTGGGAGATTATCAGACCTCTAGGTTTCAGCCTAATCAGTCATCATTACAGTATTACTAAAGGACCCATTCTACTTTTCAATTAAAATAAAATTGAGACAAATTTGTAATGCCAATCACTTCCTCCTTACTGTGCATTCACATCGGATGCAAATAAGGCAAGTATTTTATATGCTATCTCCATATAATGGTGCATTCACGAGTGATTACACAGTCTGCAATGCGAAGGATGTGCTTTGAGTGCATATTAGGCAATCAAAGCGAAGTGGCACCGAGATTTTAGGTGTGGTGGACGCATGGAGAGAAGGAAGAAAAGTAAGCAAAGTTTCTCGATGGAAAAATATAAACTGCTTATTTAATTTGCGTCAAAGAACTGATTAGGAACTGGATGTATTTGTGACATGGGGTTACTAAAAATAACATGACTATGATAAGGCTAAAAATAACAGGTAGGAAAGAAGAAAACAGCTCATCTCCGTTTTCTCATGGCCATGACCACAGGGTGAGATGCAACAGCCTGTAGCTCCTGCAAATGCTGTTAGCCATATATAGCCAATATAGTCAGCTTTTTATTAAGACAAGTACTGGATACTATTAGACTTAATGTGAGCACATTAAACTCAGGGCACACTCATTAAATAAAGCATAACAGATGTATAAATAATCTCTGCTTCGGTGATTTCCACTCCCCCAACATGATTGCAAGAGAAGGGACAACACACAAAACAAAGGTCTGGATAAGAATTTCACAAAATCAGTAGAGCCAAACACTGTTCCTCTGCCCAGCTCACTTTTGGCTCATGTCCAGATATAGTAGCACAGAATGGCTTGGATTAGACTAGGAGTGGAGAAACAGAAAACCTCAGGGCCCTCAAGTCCACTTCTACGTAGACACTTTGCTTTTAAATGGACAAACTGAGACTTCAGTGGAAACATTGCTTTTATAATAGTAGTAGTTCAGTATTCAGATGCAATCACATAAATGGATGGTTTTGTTAAGTAGTTTGGTTTATTAACCATCTTGTTTCTGGTATGTTTAAGGCAACTGATCTTTGGGTTTACACAAGCCATTATTAAGTTGAAAACATCTCAAGTTATTTTCCAACAATTTAATCCAAAAGTTTGCATCCAAATCACAAAATTAACATTTCAGAAATGTCTGCAAAGTAAAATGGCTTACTTCAATCCTACATATGAGACCCTTTTACTTTCAACTAAATGTCCAATTGACATTCAATGGAGGGGGG